AGGGGAAGAGGTTGTCCCGCGGTCGGACAGGGAGAGACCCCTAAAGCCTTGAAAGAGGTCCCAAGCGGTGGTGACGAAGTGCCCTCGAAGCGAGCCGAATGCCTGCGTCAGAGGACTCGAAGGTTTAAATATTGGGACTCCCCTAACCTATATAGAGGAGCGCTGAACAGTCTACTAGAGGGACGCCCAAGTAGAAGTAGAGGGGCGTTTTGAAGCCCAAATGGAGTCTAAGTACGACCCTAGCCTGAGGCGTAGTTTCGCAAAATGAGGGAGGGAGGACTCAGAAGTGAAAAATTATCCACCACGCATTAGGTAAAAAAAAAACGGGTTTCTCCCCTCATTTGGTTGGTCGACTTTCTTTCTTAAAGGCATTGCCCTACCTTTGGGGCATATTTCAAAAGCATACTCTAGTGAAACCTCAGAACTAGTTACGTTCAAAAATATCACTGGGAATTGCCACTGCAGCACCGACAAGGCATAATAAAGATATCAATTTTAATTATTTTCTAGTCCAAAGTACGCTGCCATGCTTTTGTAACAGCACTACCCATTGCTACTACGCTTCTACGCTACACAATTAGTGTTTTCTCTTCCCTGCAGTCGCGACCACCGTCTTCATGACAACGACCGTGCGCGCCTCTACCGGTGCAAATAGAAGAATGTTTGCGATTGACCCAGGGGGTAAAGGGCCTGTTGCTTACAGTGGCGGATCTAGGATTTGGAATACAGTCCCGACAGAGTGTTTAAAAGTTTCGTGGCATTTATGACACAACTATTTTGACGCATTAGTGTGTTGCGAACTTCACAGAACACATACATTGTAAAAAGCAAGACAAATGCAATGGTTGCTGTGTATAGTTGTGAGCAGGGAGTATTTATTCTCTTTAATTTTGAGTTCACGTATCCAGTAGCTGTGGCGAATTTGTGTTCGACTTAAAACGTGCTGCACGGATGCAGATACGAGGCCAGGACATTGGGCACTGGCTCATGGCTGGGCGATAGGAGTGTCATTTCACATTTGTTTGTTACCTGCGCAATTTATGCGGGCGCAACGTTCAATTTCAATACGGTTGTGGACTCGTTAGGAGGTCACTGCGGACTATTCATCCGGTAGTGCCCCCCCCCCCTCGTATTGATGCAAGCATTCCTAAGTAGCACGTCGTGTGACTGTCACTGGTGGACCGGCCATGGCAGTTCCTGTCGTCCTGCAGGACTGTCTCTAGTGACTGTCACTGGTGGACGGCCATGGCATATGTCCTGTCGTCCTGCAGGACTGTCTCTAGTGACTATCACTGGTGGACCGGCCATGGCATATGTCCTGTCGTCCTGCAGGACTGTCTCTAGTGACTGTCATGGTGGACCGGCCATGGAATGTGTCCTGTCGTCCTGCAGGACTGTATAGTGACTGTCACTGGTGGACCGGCCATGGCATGTGTCCTGTCGTCCTGCAGGACTGTCTCTAGTGACTGTCACTGGTGGACCGGCCATGGCATATGTCCTGTCGTCCTGCAGGACTGTCTCTAGTGACTATCACTGGTGGACCGGCCATGGCATATGTCTGTCGTCCTGCAGGACTGTCTCTAGTGACTGTCACTGGTGGACCGGCCATGGCATGTGTCCTGTCGTCCTGCAGGACTGTCTCTAGTGACTTTCACTGGTGGACCGGCCATGGCATGTGTCCTGTCGTCCTGCAGGACTGTCTCTAGTGACTGTCACTGGTGGACCGGCCATGGCATATGTCCTGTCGTCCTGCAGGACTGTCTCTAGTGACTGTCACTGGTGGACCGGCCATGGCATATGTCCTGTCGTCCTGCAGGACTGTCTCTATGACTGTCACTGGTGGACCGGCCATGGCATATGTCCTGTCGTCCTGCAGGACTGTCCTAGTGACTATCACTGGTGGACCGGCCATGGCATATGTCCTGTCGTCCTGCAGGACTGTCTCTAGTGACTGTCACTGGTGGACCGGCCATGGCATGGTCCTGTCGTCCTGCAGGACTGTCTCTAGTGACTTTCACTGGTGGACGGCCATGGCATGTGTCCTGTCGTCCTGCAGGACTGTCTCTAGTGACTGTCACTGGTGGACCGGCCATGGCATGTGTCCTGTCGTCCTGCAGGACTGTCTCTAGTGACTGTCACTGGTGGACCGGCCATGGCATGTGCCCTGTCGTCCTGCAGGACTGTCTCTAGTGACTGCTGCGCGCCTTCGGCCTGCAGGGTACACGAATGTCACGCTGTACGCTCGCTGCCGGCCCGCAGGGCTCACGAGCGTCACGCTGTCGGGGCGTCAGCAGGTGCTCCCTCAGCAGGGTCTCCCGTCAGCAGGGTCTCCCGTCAGCAGGGTCTCCCGTCAGCAGGGTCTCCCGTCGGCAGTGTCTCCTGTTAGCAGGGTCTCCCGTCAGCAGGGTCTCCCGTCAGCAGGGCTCCCGTCAGCAGGGTCTCCCGTCAGCAGGGTCTCCCGTCAGCAGTGTCTCCTGTTAGCAGGGTCTCCCGTCAGCAGGGTCTCCCGTCAGCGGGGTCCCCGTCAGCAGGTCTCTGTTAGCAGGGTCCCCCGTCAGCAGGTCTCCGTCAGCAGTGTCTCCTGTTAGCAGGGTCTCCCGTCAGCAGGGTCCTCCCGTCAGCAGGGTCTCCCGTCAGCAGGGTCCGTCAGCAGGGTCCCCCGTCAGCAGTGTCTCCTGTTAGCAGGGTCCCCCGTCAGCAGGGTCTCCCGTCAGCAGGGTCCGTCAGCAGGGTCTCCGTCAGCAGGGTCCCCGTCAGCAGTGTCCCCCGTCAGCAGGGTCCCCCGTCAGCAGGGTCCCCCGTCAGCAGTGTCTCCTGTTAGCAGGGTCCCCCGTCAGCAGGGTCTCCCGTCAGCAGGGTCCCCCGTCAGCAGGGTCCCCCGTCAGCAGTGTCTCCTGTTAGCAGGGTCCCCCGTCAGCAGTGTCTCCCGTCAGCAGGGTCCCCCGTCAGCAGGGTCCCCCGTCAGCAGGGTCCCCCGTTAGCAGGGTCCCCCGTCAGCAGGTTCTCCCGTCACCCCGGCCCGTTCTCTGTGCAGCGATGTCCTGTTGCGGTAGGGTTTAGAGTTGCCGGGTCACGCGGCGCGGTATCGGTGACGAGCGCACAGGTACGGTAAAACACGCCGGGCTCTTGCAGTGAGGTGTAACTGTGGAGTCGCCGAGCCACTGTGGGACCGGCACCGGGTCAAAGTGTTGCCTCAAAGTGCGCTTTAATGCCCAAGGCCTTTTGTGCTGCGTATTTAACTGGGCTACCTGATGACACAGGCTGTCGTCAGTAGCACAGATTGGGATTACACAGCCGTGGGTAACAGGATACCGCAGTGTCGCGCGAGTTTGGCTGCCATGGTGTCCACTGGCCGTCAACTTGAACGTGGTATACATCACTCACGTGGTGGAACTACCCGGTGCGTCTTTCAGACCTTGCCCGTTCGTGTGAGGCTACGGTATATTTTGGCATGTTACTCTTCATTTTATATCGTCAGCAAACTGTCTGACACACAGCATGGTGTTGATGGGTCTTGTAGGATATTGTCACAATATCTAGACACAGATTCCTTAGAAGCGTTTGAAAGGTTTTAGGTATTACCCCCTGTAAAAGGGAGATGTATGTGCGAACAAAAGCGGTGAACATCACGAATCATGACCGAATTTCAAGCTTTTGGCACCAGTGACCAATATCAAACCGAACCAGTGATTTAGAATAAAGGAGTGCGAAGCACGGCACGCTACGTCCTGTAGTCGCTGTGATCACTCTGCACACAACTGACTGACATTGTCCTTGTCATGCTATTGTTCTGCGGGAGTGAAGAACGGAGTTCGGAGGGTGTCTTTTTCATCACAAGGTCATTAATTAATAACCTGCCTTCATCGATGTCCTCGTCCATCGTCGTAGTTGGGTAAGTAACTTCTACGTAAGCTATCTACAAGGAATTGAAAACTGAATCGCTGTTAAGTACCGACCGTTCAAAACTTAATTTTGAAAACATCGATAGTCCATACGGCAGTGGAACTTACCAGGCGGGATAGGGCTTTGATTAGTCATGTCCCCGTATATGCTCAACGGAGGGCCTTAAATGTACCTTGAACAGTAGGCATGGTATAATATATATATATATAATAATATATATTCAACCATCAAAGAAGCTGTGAAACACCACTGCGAGGCCATGTTCCGTTCACCACTACGCGCGATTGCCCGGCTGGCCGCGGTGCGGGTTTGACAAGTCACGGCTGGGGCAATGACCAGCACGACTGTGCATGGCATAGAGGCCTTAGAACCAAATACATCTACGGGCGATTGTCGATTATATATGTTACAGATCTGAAAACAAGCCTTACCGCGGTCCAGAAACCGGCTAGTCATTCCCGGTCCGGTAGTTCGGTTGGTTGGAGCATCTGCCTTCTGATTGATCCACCCGTGGTGGCGGGCTGGATTCGAATCGCTCTAGGTGCCACTATTTGCCACTAACTGGGATGGTATGCGGTCAGTGGCAGCGGCAGCGCCAAAGGTCAGGTGACGTCAGAGGACCGGATCGACCGCGCGGTATTGCGGCACGTGAAGATCACGGCGGGCCGATAGTGTAGCGGCTAATGTGTCTGCGTTAAACACTGTGCGCCTAGGAAACTAGAGATACGGGAAATCGATCCCCCCGATGCCTGCACTTCCTTCCAGTGTGACAGGCAGGCAATGCCATATAGCCTCAGCATCGGAGTGCGTCGTAAAGCCCAATGACACCCACATGTTAAGCTCACGCCGAAAACTTTGCCGTTGACCGACATTTCGCGGTCGGATGTTGTGGTCAGGACCCACGCAACAAGCACTGCTTAGCGTCAGCGCTGATCCCAGAAATCCATCCCTCTAAAGACTGGGACTATATCTAACACAAAAAGTTATGTAACGAATGACAACGGCATGTTACCACCATGAGAGTAGTCGGGCCCCTACGTTGCTGGGCTGGGGGACAAGTCTGCGCTGCTGCTGATGACCAGTCTGTCACGTTGCAGGTCTGAGGACACGCCTCGACAATGGCCGACAACCAGGCGGAGTACGACGATGGCGACCGTGCGCCGCGGCCGCGGCACAACGGCCGAGCGGGCGGCGGCTTCGGCGGCGGGGGAGGCGGCTTCCCAGGCCAGGCGGCGCCGCACACCGACCTGCCGCTGCGCATCCTCGTCAACAGCGAGATGGTGGGCGCCATCATCGGCCGCCAGGGCAACACCATCCGCCAGATCACGCAGAACACCCGCGCCAGGTGAGGCCAACACCACCCGCCAGATCACGCAGAACACCCACGCCAGGTGAGGCCAACACTGCCAGGTCACGCAGAACACCCGTTCCAAGTTACGCGCATAATACGGCCCACAAGATCATGCAAGACATCCGCAATGGGTGAGGTCGGAGCACTGCGATCGCCCGGACTACAAGATCAGGTCACAGGAACGTCACTAGGTGATCAGGTCAGGCCGCGGGGAATGTCCTCGTCAAGCCATGTCTCAGATTAACATCAGCGGCATGCCAGGTTGGCAATCGAGATTACCTGCACCGGGTCCGACCAGCAACATTAGCGATGTTGTGCAAGGTCATGCTGAAAAGTGATCCAGTCATGGGTACACAGTAAACATAAATTGTTTAAAAAAATCATGGTATGTCGGCGCGTCGCTGAGGTCTGGTCGGAGCCGACGAGCGTCGTGCAGGCGCTGGGCGGAGGGCGAGTATGTGCATGTGATGCGTTCCTGCAAATAGCTCTCTAAGGCCTTTGTATTGCTTGTAGATGTGACATAGAAGGCTGCTAATTAGTGGGGATATGCTACAGGTGTTCTTCGCTGCCTTATGCAAAAAGCGCGGAAAGTATCTTGTGACGTTCCTTTAAGCAGCCAAAGGAGAAAGCATCCATTTCAGTCTTAGCATTAGCCCATAGGTGGGATAGGTGATTTACCCGACGGATTAGGATAGGTGGCATGTGTCTGATAGTAGGATGTGTAGCATCGTTTTAGCTCTGCTATCATTTTTCCCGGGCTATCCTCGTCGTTATCTGTCCTCAGTGTCATCGCGTCATTAAGCGTCTCCAGCCATCCCTCCTGACTTCTCCGGTCACTCTCTCCCACATCTCTAATATCTCCGACTGGCGTCTCCAGCCGTCTCTTCTGACGTCCCCAACCAAAGGGACGCTTTTTGACGTTTCCGATCAGCTATTTTGCCGTCCTTGATCTCCCTGCCTGAAGTTCTGATCTCCGCGTCTGAGGCCCTTCCCCCGATCTAATCGTCCGACGCCCAACGCCCCAATCTCCGCGTCTGAATCCCTCTATCTGCCGTCTGACGCCTCCTATCTACGCGCGCAGGGTAGATGTGCACAGGAAGGACAGCAACGGCGCCACAGAGAAGGCCATCACCATCTACGGCAATCCGGACAACTGTGACAACGCCTGCCGCGAGATTCTCGACGTGATGACCCAGGAGGCAGCCAACACCAACAAGGGGTACGGTAGCGGTACGGCTGGCCCCCGGGCGCCCTGCCGCGAGATTCTCGACGTGATGACCCAGGAGGCAGCCAACACCAACAAGGGGTACGGTACGGTACGGCTGGCCTCCGGGCGCCCTGCCGCGAGATTCTCGACGTGATGACCCAGGAGGCAGCCAACACCAACAAGGGGTACGGTACGGTACGGCTGGCCCCCGGGCGCCCTGCCCGACGGACAGCACTCCGACGGCCAGGCTGGGGATCATATTCATCGAAGCGGTCTAGTGTGGACGGGGGTCGAGCTCACCGTCAAACGTTCAGGTTCCATTTCCGTC